GAATGTGAAGGACAGCATATAGACTTTATAGCCAGAATTTCAGACTCAAATCCAGTAGCAAAGGCTTGAGATTTCTTTGAAAGGCAGCTTTAATTCGTATTTTCCCTTTCGGATTCGGAAAATAGCATTAACTGAGAGACTGACTCTCATAGGAACTTCTAAACTACCGCATTTCTAGCATGGTATTATGTTGTGAAAGCTATATGAATATCTGAGAAAACCTTGCCCCCTAGTCTCTTTTGTTTCGATCTTGCAACCTCCATTTTAGAAAGCTATATGAATATCTGAAGGAAACTCACCCCTAAACTCTTTGGTTTCGATCTTGCAACCAACATTTTAGACTTCTTGAGTTGACAAGACTTATGCACGACCATGCGTAAGACTGTTGTATGATACATATTTTTTGCATCCCTGTCATATTTTATATATCTTTTTGCATTATACAAACTGTGTCCATGCCAGATTTCATTAAAATCTGCCCGTCAGTTCGGGAGATAATCGACCAACAGCCAAATGGGAAAATGCTCTTAACTTTGTACTTTGTTAATATGAATACCTTTCTTGACTCTGTGAATTGTATGTTAGCCATACAGTTTTCTCCCATATCTGCCTGATATGAGGTGATAATCTGCCTTTAAATACAAATAAATCAATTCGTAAACCAACTCACGTTCAGAGATTAAAGGAAACAGGAGTAAATTTCTTTCATTACGCTTTATTGGCATATAGCCTTATAAGGTATTTCTCTCGCCTTCTTAGCATACCTTCGTGGTGTAGTGGTCAGTACGCTCGACCTGTATTCGAGAGGTCCGTGGTTCGTGTCCCGGCGAGGGTATAGTTCATTTTTCATCTCTCCTCCTTTTAAAAAATCTGATGTGTACACCACATGACTTCCTTGTACGGAATATTAAATTATACGCATTTTTTCTTGCATTTCGTTTAAACTTATTGGATTCAATTAAAACTACTTCGCCGACAGCGCATGAACTACAGTAGAATAAATTCATCTTTAAAATTCACTCTTTTTTTTACCATAGTGACACTTTGGCGCTACTTAAAGTTATATATTTCGTCCATATTATAACTCAGAATGCACAAAATTTACTCATTTTAAAGAATTATCGATCGTTGCACAAACGTTCTATTACAATACTAATAAAGCTACAACGATGATAAAAATAAATTAACAAACAAATCAAAAAGAAATGTTTTTCACAGACGATTGAGTTTTCTCATTCAATTAATTCAGTTCTCACTTCGCGACAAGGCAAAATACATAAAACTCAATATCTGTAATTACTAATAATTAAAAATTTAAATTATTAAAAATTAAATTATTAAAAATCAAGTAAATCTTAACACTTATTTCCTCGAAAAATTCCAGAAATGATTAAGCATGATTTAATTCGCAATAATAAATGAAGGCGTTATCTCTGTTGTTGCGAAGCTACGTTTTGATTGGCAACAAATCCACTACTCTGGGTTTCAAATGTAACAAGCAAGGGCCCCCATTATATATATGTAATAATAAATTTTGTCAGAATACACTAAATTTCTAACTGATGTTCTTTTCATATGTAAATTAACAGACGATAATTTTAGAAAACAGGATCCTTTATTATTGGTCAGTAGAAATAGCGTTACAAATCAGAATCCCGGAGTAAAAAAAGAATTACTAATAATTTTTGTATGAAGTTTTACTGTAAGTTACATTTAAGAAAACGCCCCGATATTTTTGCGATTTTTTTTATAGCCTCTGGAAAGGGCGAGCTTCCAAGAAATGACGGTCAGCCTCGTCAGCAAATCCAGTTCGCTTTTAAATACTTCCGACATTTTAAACTGTACGTGTAGAAAAGCCGGGGAAAACAACTTGAATTTCTCGTATCTAGAAACAAACTTCCCCATTGAAAATAATGGAAATCCAGTTAATCCGCTCCGCACCCCAAAAACATCAACATAAAAATAAATTCTTCCAATAAATAACATTGGTAAATAATATAACAGAAGTTTAACTTTTTCATAACTTCTGACATCGAATCACCTTTGAGCTGCTTCTCGTTAATCCATACCAACAGCAGCTTCTCAACGTCTTCTAGAACCGCGATTTTCAACCGGCGGTACGCAAGAGAAAAATAGGTGGTACGCAAAGAAATAAAGTATTTTTAACTATTAAATTCAAAAATTGAATACCGCAACATCCAGCTTAAATTTTTTCTCTAACACTCGTAAATTTATGCTATTCAAGGTCAATAGCCGCTCATAGATTTTCTTTAGCATAATAATAAATTTTCCTTACCAGCGGCCGAGTGGTAAAAGCCGCTGAACACTGGTAGTTCGGTCCGGGGTTCAAGTCCTGGCGGGCTGCATGGTCGTTTTCGTGGTTTTCCCCATGTGTAACGTGGATACGAGACAGTTTCGCTTAAAAAGACCTCCAGGGGGCATCCCTCCCTTTCCGTGTAGTGCCTGAGGGCGGAGCAAGTAATAAGGAAAAAAAAAAAAAAAAAAAAAAAAAAAAAAGGTTTTTATTTTCACAAATATTTTTTAGGCGTAGCCATAGTAAAATTTGTAATAACTGATCTTTTCAAAAGGAGTAATACAAATGGATGTTGTATTTAATCGGAAATAAAAAGGTAATCATTTATTCTTTTAGAGTTGATCGCGTAATTAGCATGTCTATACTTCATGTCGCCACAATTTGCTGTCTTTAACAGCAGGTATTTTGTCTTCTTGTTTTTTAAATTTTCTACGCAATTTGAGAATTCGTTTTGAAGGACTCGTCGTATATTGTGCATTTAAATATTTGTAAAAAATAATAAAACAAACCTATATTTTCAAAATGGAAAAATGTCTAGGATTGACGAAGCGGAATATTCACACGTGATGGATCCAGCACAATCTACTGGCACTAAGAATATTGTAAATAAAATAAAAATTGTTTATAAAAAATTTACTAAACGTTATTTATCATTTGGGTTTACTTGGAACGGAGATGAAATGGACGCTCAACCTCAATGTGTTGCTTGCGGTGAGCTGTTATGCAATCAAAATATGAAACTATCGTTTCTAAATAAACATATTGAATCTAAGCGTGCCAATTTAAAGGATAAATCTGAAGAATATTTTAAGACGAAATTATCGGAGTTAAAAAATCGTAAACAAGTACTGAAAGCTTTTGTTACTTCAAGTGAAAAACCTTTGGGAGCTACTTCCCTAGTAAGCCTAAGATTTGTGAAGACTTAGGATAATTGATAACACAACAGTGGGCAGGCTCACACTATTGGAGAAAACCTTATATTACCAGTAGCTAAAGATATCGTTTTAACATTATTCATCGAAAAAAGTGGCTAATGAAATTTAATATTCCGTTATCAAAACGTACAGGAAGCCGATGAATTCGTGAAATGGCAAATTCTATAAAAGAGACATTTATTCAAAAAATAACACGGTGAGTATTTCGCATTGGAATTGGATGAAAGTACTGATATAACGACCTTTGTTCAATACTGAGTTTAGATACGTTTCGAAGAAGATAAACGAGTTGCCGAAGAGTGATTTTATGAGTCTCTTCAATCAGTGAGATACACTTTTATGTCTAAGATATTCCAGAAGTAACATAGGGATAAAAACTTCATTTCCCCACAATTTCGGTGAACTAAACGAAAGAAAAGGTATTAAGCAGGGCAACATAAAGTGACAACCACAGTATCTGATTATGTTTCAGTTCCATATCCACCAGTATGGCTCTAATCAAGATCCGATTGAGGTAGTCTGCATCCTTATGCACTTTCGTTTTTGGTCCAGAATTATAAACTTTCAAGTTTAATTTGTAGGTTCTTTTTTGTTTTCTTACGTATAGGGTTAAGATGTAATCAGAATTTGATTATAAGTACCACATGCTATACAGACCACCCGTAAAAAAGACATGTATGTTTTACATTCATTTTAATAACTGTGCATTGAGCTGGATACTGAGAAAGGACCCTAATTTGCATCCATTGTTGTACTAGAATGTAATATATACCGTGTATTCTGGAGTATAACGCTCACTTTTAATACCAAAAATGAGATAGAAATTTACGAGTACGCGTTATATGCCGGATAAGAATTAGATTTTAAAATAAAGAGAACATGAGCATACAAAATTTTGATTTCTATATGTACCTAAATGCTGTTTCTAGAGATTCTGGCGATTTTCTAGGACCAAGTCCATAGCGCTTTCTTCTAGGGTAGGTCATGTCTTTACACCTTCCTGAAAAATATATTCTTTTCTTTGGCATATTAATTATTGTGATATCATTTTTCTTCCTCTCACGTATGGAGCTTTCACCAATACCAAACATCATTACTGCTTTCGGAAACCGAATGAATTTGTTTTGAAACCAGGTCTATATTTGTTTATTTGACAGAAACCATATTTACTACTAAAAGAAACACAAGAATAACTGTATTTCAGCTAAAGCAAATGCGATTTGTTGAAGACTTTAAAACTCATTTTTAAATCATGGCCTCAAATTGCTGCAGAAAGAGGAGGTATCGGACCCCTAATTCCGCGAATTCAATCGGGTTGAAAGTACATTCGTATCCAAAATTATTTTCCCTTTTCCAGGAAACCCTAGAATAACATTATTGGACACATCTGAACTGAACACAACCCACCTTCTTTACAGAATTATTTACTCCCTAAAGCATTTCTCCCACATACATATCGTTCTTCTTATCCCTTGTCAATTCAGAATACCATTGTTTGAAAGCCTGCGATACATCTTCGAAGGAACGACTCCAAAAGATAACAGCATCGCACATGTATCTTTCAGGTTTTTTATAACGAAAAATGTGAGCGTTATACAGCGAATATAGCTAAAAATGGGAAAAAAATCGTTGTTGAAATTACAGGGGCGGGTTATACACCGGTTCGAATCATACGCTGGAATATACCGTAAGTGTGACGAATGCTGAGATGATTGAGTATCTTATTTTAATGATAATATTGTTTATTTCAGATTTCTACACCCAGATGATGTTTTACGATTACATAGAAAATTTTTCAAATGTCTCTACTTTCTCAGTGGGCATAGCAGTGATAGCTGTTCTTCTGGGAATCATATTTTATTTCATAAGAGATCGAGGATTGCCTCCAGGACCTACAGGTGTCCCCATCTTAGGAATTTATCCATTTTTAGATCATGACAAATGTCACCTGCAGCTGGATGAATTCACGAAGAAGTATGGAAAATTCTTCAGTTTTAGAGTGGCGGGGCAACTGTACGTGAGCTTAGGAAGCCCAGAACTCATTCGAGAAATCCATGTTACAAAGGCAGATGTGTTTAGTGACAGGCACACTGGGTTCAACCTATTTACGTCTGAATTTAGTGGAGGTAATAAACTTACAATGGCATTTTGATTTCACTTTTAATAGCATTAATCAACTGTATAATGACACTTTTACTCGTATGATTGCTTTTTAATTTTAATTTTATTTTTATATAAAATGATAAGAACTAGCGAGAAATATTAATGCTAGTATTATCAATTTATTTCTTTTCCATTGCATTAAATACAGAGTAAATATATTATAAAATCAAAATTTCGCAATTATTCAAATCTTACACTTGGTTTGCTCATTTTTCCGGTTTTTGTATAAATTATTCTAATGATACTTTTGGAAAGATAATTGGTTATTCATACATCGAAAAGAAATGAATGCAATGATATTAAAAATAAAAATTGGTTATTATGTAATGATGAGTATATTTTTCTAAAAAAAGTTAAGATGTACCGTATAGAAAAGTTTAAAAACGTTAAATAATACAGAGAGCGAAACTTGCAGTTAAAAATAAAAAGTAAGCATAAAATATATATTTTATTTTTCATTTTGAAACCTCTACTAGGATTTGACGTCGCTACTAATTAAGGCTTTGGAAATGCCGTTTATTTTTATGTTACACCCAAAATAGATTAGCACTGGATTCGTAGACTACATAAAAATCTAAATATACTAACAATGTTTCAGTTTTTGATATTTTGATCAAATAACAGTTTATTAGTTAAAAGTGAAATAAGCACAATTATTTCAATGACTTAACATTTAAAAAATTTTCAGATTTATTGTTTAGCCACTGGTTAATCAGGTTTCTTTTCATCTAATTCTCTCTCTATACCTATGATATATTAAAAGTAGTAAAACTTTAAAATTAGGAAATAAGTTTCAGGAAGAAATTTCAATGGTTTTGAAAAAAGGGAAAAAGACATTCAGCTATTTGAAATGATCATAACAACCTTTTTCTCATTCTGTTTAATAATTCTATCAGTTGAAAAATGTCTTGGATTCTTCAGAAGTTCAATCTTCATGTCAATTTCAAACTTATCGATAAAATTCCTTGTTCGGTGCTTAAAGATTCCATCTCTAATTTTAATTCATGGAGAATTTTTTGTATCTTTTCAGTATAGTTTGACTTATATCGGCAAAATTTAAAAGGGCTTTAAAATTTTGCATCAGAGAATACGAAACTATGTTCAAAAGGTGAAATAAATAAGACTTATTAATCATAGTTTGACATTTTGTAGAGACATTAGGTTATTTCGAAGCAGGAGACATGAAAAATGTGAAAAATGTGCAGTGCCCTCTCCGGGACTCGAACCACGGACCTGTCGAATATGCGCCGAGTGTGCTGACCACTACACCACAAAGGCATGCTAAGAAGGCGAGAGAAATACCTTATAACTTAATCACAATTTGGACATCGATTCTGCAAAAATTACCCAGAAAGCTTCTTCAGATAGTGAACTGGATTTTTTTAAAGCTTGACACATTCAGAACATTTTTTCTTCTTTAGTTAATGACATTAATTCCAATTCATTTCATCCTAAAGATTTCAAAAGTCTAATATCTTAATTTCCACATTCCTTTAGTAGTTTTCTTGACGTTCATTTTCATTGTCTTCACTTTCACTTTGCTCCGCTTATTTCTTTTGATATAAAATTTTTCTCGCTATTGCCATAACTGCAGAAACTGCTTCGCTCCTAAAAAATAGGAACCTATGTCTGATCCTCCTCGATATAAAAAAAAACAGGATAAGAATATCGGCCAAGGACGCTAATTTGATAATTTGATATAGGATGTCGAGTAACCGATATTAAACTCATCGACTGATATGATATCAATCTGATATTGGGCTCAGATGTGAATATATGATCTGCACTTTTATTCAAAATCTATATCAAGTTAATATTGATATTTTGCCTAGTTTTAAAAGCTTCAGCAGAGTTTATGTATTATCTTTTAGAATTACCAAACCTTGGTGACAGAGATCAGTTTGACAGATTCAAGAAAAGAGATCTCGAGAATGTAAAAGCATAGAGAGACAACAGTTATAACATAGAGGAAAATTAAATGATTAAACTAATATTAACTGATATGATATAAATAGCATAAGCTAATATGGTGGAGATGGAGGAAACATTTTTAAACTAGATATGTTAAATTTCTGTAACCTACTTCTCATTTTAGTCTTTAAAAATTTTCGTTTTTGAAATATTATACAGATATAGAATTATATGCATTAAAAGAAAATTTTACTTAGTAATTTATTTGTAGAGAATAGTGGGCCAAAAAATGCAATTAAAAAAAAGAGGACATTTTATATATAAAAATAAAAATATATTCCGCATCTCTTCATCGCCCTCAGTTTTAAAAAATACCGGAATTTTATTTTTCGTCAGTTTTTATAAGTACTAAATACACTGCTACCGAAATAAAATTGTTCCTGATATAAATTTTGAGCATGAGGAACACGAAAAATGTTTAAAATCGGTATTTGAAAATTATTTATCGTTTGCGAAAAAAGCTCAAAAAATGTAATTTTTTTTTAAAAAAAGTAACAATATTTCGTAATTTCTGATATTTTTACTTTTCCATTTTTAGTACACAAACGGTGAATATACTTATTATTTTTCTATTAGTATTCAAAAGAGTGCACTTTAAATTTAGTTTTTAGGAAAAACCTCAATAGGAGAATCGTCCTAATCAAGCCATCTGCTGCGTTAGTGACAGACATCTTTTTAGATGCTTCGATCACAAGTTTAACACATCGTTCTACAGTATGTGTGTGACAAAGGAAGCACTGAAAATCTAGTTGCAGCGAAGTATCAGTTTTTAATAGATTTTTGGTGCCCTCATTCGTAATGACTTTCTTAGTGGACGAGGAGAAATATTGCAGCTATTCTATCAAATCATGTTGACGCAGTCTGTTGTTTCGAAGGTGGGTTTAGCGTGGTGAAGTTTCGAATAGTCTTTACTTTGGAAAATGATCGAACTTTCTACAATCGGCGCAGACCTACTTCTCTGATATGTCTTCTTTCACCTACAATTATTTCAAGGACCAAATTTTCTGAATGAGCAAAAGAATCACTTCGCTGAATTACTGGATTGATGACTTGCAGTAAATTTTGAGTTAGATATTTTGATGTTCTGATGGCTTGGACTGTATGGTAAATTTTTGCCGATTTTGACTTTGAACATGAGTGAAAGAAAAATATCAACTGCCTAATTTCCTTCTTCTTCTTCATAAGCTTCACAGCATGTTACAGGCCAAGGCTGTCTCTCCAAGTTTCCTCCACCTGACCCTATTCGACGCAATAACCTTCCATCGGTTAACTCCAATTAACCCTAAATCGTGCTCGACATCATCTGTCCATCTAGTGGGTGGCCTTCCTTTCCGTCTTACTCCCTCAATTCTCGAAAAGGTATCTTTTTGCTTGGAAATGCATTATCATATCTAAACACATGGCTCAGCCATCTGATACGAGATTCCTTTACGATTCTCAAAATATGACTTTCCCCATATTTCCAATATTTAGCCATAGATATTCTATTCTTTATTTCAATTTTTATATCATTGCAACTTGTGGTCAGTGTTCCCAGATATTTAAATTGTTTTACGGTTTCAAAGGTAAAACTGTGCCTAATATCATGTTTTTTAAGCTAACATGCACACATCAGTTTGCTTTTTAAGCTTTGAGAACTTGAGTGTGAAAGCGGACCAGGATCAAGAGCTGCTAAATCTTCTAAAACTGTATCTGACTTTATGACAGCAGAAATATCTATTAACTGTAATTAATATTTGTCTGCAGACTTGAGGAATAGACAATTGAGAGAATTGAACACGTTCAAAGCGAACCAGTGGAAGTGTTTCACGGATAGCGAGTTTTATCCGATCGTCCACTGAAGGATTTGAGCCTGTGGCAACACCAGGCGAATGATGAAATAAGTGATGAAACTGCAGTTCATTGAAGTATAGGAGAAGCAGAACTGGTCTTCCAACGTGTAATTCGATCTAGTAATAACAACAGTTTCTAAACCATCCTTAGTTAGGGTTCCATTACTCTGTATCACAACAAGTTCTTCAAGGGAAATCTCACGTGTAGTCAAATGAAAAATTATGCTAGAATCTTTAGCATTTCTGCAGAGGCAAAAACATTGCCGATATATTTTGATTCTGGTTCTTTTACGAAAGAATAATGGGCTTCATTTTCGGTTCTTAGAAAACGCTTTGAATTATTTTTAAAACCGCTATCTAGGCGTCTTTTCTTCCATGAAAGAACAGACCAAGTAGTGTTTCCTTAATAGATTGATAATGCAAATAATTTCAGTTATTACAGGTTTTTCCTCTGATTTTATTAGTGTCAATGACAGGAAAATTCTGCCTAACTTATTAGTTATCCCGTACAGTTACATAATAGTTACATTGTACATAATATTTACAATTACATAATATTTATCGTTTCCCTCATAACGCAAAAATCACATTAGAAGTAATAGCATTTCGATAGCAGTGAGTTTAGTAATTATAAAAAACTGATAAAAAATAGCAACATTTTGCAAAACTTTGTGCGAACGGAAGATAAATTTTTGTATGAAAACCTTTTCCCCAATTTTGCATAGTTAGGCGATAGACAGCTTTGCCGGGGTATAGCGATAGAATAATAAAAAAAAGTGCTTTTTCGACTCACCCTATTATAAAAATTAAAAGGACTTCAAAGTTAAAAAACTGATGTATACACCGCATGACTTTCTTCTACGGAATATTAAATTATACGCATTTTTTCTTGCATTTCATTTAAACTCATTGGATTGAATTAACTCTAATTCGACGCTAGCGCATAAACCACAATAGAATAAATGCACTCTTTAAAATTCACTATATTTGTTTACCATAGCGACACTCTGGCCTAGCTTCACTTAACAACGTTATGTTTCGTTCATATTATAACTCAGAATGCAAAAAAATTATATCATTTTGAAGAATTATTTAATCGTTGCCACATGTTCTATTCAAATACTATAACAAAGCTAGAACGATGTATAAAAGAAATTAAG